GTTAGGTAATATGATAAGACATCCTCTGATTATGAAAAAACCCAGCACCTGTCCCAAACTGTTTTTGAGTTGGTTGATATTATGACCTGACTGGCTTTTATTTCCAGTGATTTGATTCCTGCCTAAATCCCTGCTCAGCTCCTTTGAGGCTTCAACCTTACTCCTTGAGTCTACCTGGAACCAGACCTTCCTTAGCTTAGACTGACCCCTTGCTCTGATAATACCCAGCGTCCCTGCTTATAGATGTGGGGTCTGATTGGTCTGTGCACCAGCCAGCCTCCACACTTTCCTTCTGATGCTGAGAAGTTCAGCTTCATCTTTCTTGTGGAAAAGACATGGCATGTGTCACTTCAGGGACTCATCTGGGTGAGATGGGCAGTGAAAAGAATGTCAGTTTGTATGTCCCACACTCATGATGGTCTCTGATGCTGCAGAGTGCCCAGAATTAGAGTCTAGAGGCAACAGATCTTGGGGCCTGAGCCCATTGAATACAGTCTCTGATATCCCAAGGAACTCCTGTCCTCATCTTGTCAGTTTTATACATTAGAACATCATCCGATAGTGTAATGTAACTTTAGCAAGTGATTCAGTACTTTCAGAGAAACATTGGCCAGAGGAGGTTGGAGTGTCTGAAACGGGGAGAGTAGTAGCAGGTTTAGGAGGCAATCCACTTTTTCTCACAAGCCGGGGCCGCTTGAGGCTAAAAGAGAAAATGTTCCTAGCAATATTCCTCATAATAATGAAAAGGTGCAAAGAATTCAAGTATCCATCAATGGATGAATAGATAAATAATAGGTGGTCTATCTCTATAATGGAGTATTATTTAGTAGGAGTGAGATCCATGCTACTACATCAGTGGATCCTTAAACATGATAAGGGAAGGAAGTCAGACATAAAACACCTCATATTGTATGGTTTCATTTATATGAAATGTAAATATAAGCAAATCCACAGAGACAAAAAGCAGATTTGTGATTTTTAGGAGGTGGGAGATGGGTGGAGGGGAGTGAGGAGGGGATACTGATTGTTCTGGGGTTTCTTTTGGAGGGATGGAAAAGTTCTGAAATTAGTAGTGAGGTGCATAACTCTGTGAATAAACAAAAAATGACTGAAATGTACAATTTAAAAGGTGATTATTATGGTATGGGAGTTACATCTCAGTTACAGCAAACAGTAATTGAAAAGCAAAAATAAGAATGCAATACTTACCTGATCAAGTCCCAGAGAAAAACACTGTCTTATGAAGCTGGGCTGCAGGAGAAAGGCTCAAGGATGAGCAGAAATTGAACCTGTATAAACCTGGGCTCCTCCAATAGACTTGGCATGACCTTGGGGAAGTTATTTTACCTCTTTAGGCCTCAGGTTGCCTGTCTGTTTAATGATATTGTTGGGAGAAAATATATCCCTGATGAGCTTTAGAAAACAATAAAATGCTTATTTAAAACAATACTCACTAATCAGCTGGGCATGGTGGCACATGCCTGTAATCCCAGTGTCTCAGGAGGCTGTGGCAGGAGGATTGCATGTTTAAAGCCAGCCTCAGCAACTTATTGAGGCCCTAAGCAACTCAGTGAATTCCTGCCTCAAAATAAAATATAATTACAACCAGAGATATGAAAAATTGTGCTCTATATGTGTAATATGAATTGCAATGCATCCTGTTGTCATATATAACAAATTTGAATTATAAAAAATAAAAAAATATAAAAAAATAAAAAGGGATGTGGCTGAGTGGCTAAAGCAACCCCTAGATTCAATCCCTTGTACTAACAATAAACAAGTAAACAAACAAATAAAAAGTAAAACTACACTCACTAATTATAGGCATGGTGTTATTATAGTGCTTAAGGGTTAATTGAGAACCTAGAAGACCTGATGAAAGACAATCTTCCACCATTGCTGCCCTTCAGGCCTCAGAAGATGCAGGTACCAGCCTCAAGTGCACAGATAGGTCACCCATTCCTGAGCTGAAAGTGCCATTTGTTTTCTCATTCCTCTGGGAATATCTTCAGTGTTCTGTATTTTGATTCTATATCATAATAGCTGTCTACCTCCAGTTTGGCTTCCTAGAAGGCCTTTTAGAAAGAGAATTTAAAAACCTTTAAAATCTTAAACTATACACTCTGCTGTATACCCCGTAAAGGGCTCCCCTTTAACTGTTGCAAAGCAATTGAATTTATTACACATAAGATTTGACCCACCCTCTCAAACAGGGCCTGATTCTCTCCCTTATATTTCCATATGACTGATTCAATATTTATCTGTTTTATTTAGTGCTCAGATAATGTTTAGAGTTCATAAAAATAAGAAAATCGCCAGGCTCAGTGGCGTGTGCCTGTAATCCCAGTGGCTCAGACAGAGGATCACCTAGCCTCAGCAATGGTGAGGCACTAAGTAATTCAGAGAGATCTTGTTTCTAAATAAAATACAAACAAGGGTTGGGGATGTGGCTCATTGGTTGAATGTCTCTGAGTTCAATCCCTGGTAACAATCTCCCCCTCAAAATAAGAAAATTAATTTAAACAGATACATAATTCTTTCCCTTTAGGTTATTAAAACATTGGCATCTCAATACTGCAAAATTGAAGTCCCGAGAGGTCATAGTAAAGTAGTGTCCAAACAGGGGTACAGGATAGAGGGTCGTTTCACTCTCTTTCTCCCCTCTACTCCTAAATGCCAGGAAATCCAAAGTACATCTACACGTAGCTCTCGGTACCAGGGGACTCTGCCAGCTCTAGGGCTACTTCAGCTCAGAAGTACATCATGTGGGAGCATTAAAATGCTTGTAATAGTTTGCAATCGCTCCTTACAAGTATGCTTGGGAGAAAATATATCCCTGATGAGCAAGTGTCTTAAGTTAGTGATCAAGTGTCTTAAGTTAGTGGAATGCTTGTTTCCTTTTATTCTCTTCAATTTAATTTTGATTATTTGAATTCAAAACTGCTCCCTGTCACAAGTGAAAGGTACTGAAATCCTCGGGAAATCAGTATGAACAATTTAACGTGGGTCCTACTAAATACTCCATGATATGGACTGGCTTTTGGCTGCTGGCCTCTTCTCCAGGCACACAGTATGGTAGGGAGGACAGCAAAGCTGTTCTTGGGCCGCCTTTATGGGAAAATCCTGGCTGAGTCCAGCTGTGCAAGAGCAAGCGGCCAGGGTTGCAGCCTAGAGGAGCAATGAGATAATGAATGTGAAAAGGCTCCCGGCGGGAGATTATTTAATCCTTGGTAGTGAGCACAGGATGGGTGAGGGAGCTTCACTTTAAGCAAGGGCACACATTTTCACTTACGGCTTTTTAGCTCGAGAAATTGAAATTTTAGGTTTCAGCAGTGTTCCCCCCTCCCCCGGTTAAAAGCCTCAATGATGAAATCCATTGCGAAATCCATCCTCTGACCACCCCCCTACCTACGTGGGTCCCAACCTTACCCGGGGCACGGGGGCTGTTGTGTCCAGATGGTGGCGCTCCCGCCAAGTGCAACCCCTCTCCCCAACTGCAGCAAGAGGTGTGGTATGGACCAAGTTTCAAGGTGTTCGCAGAAATTTCCTGGGAGGATTCGGGGGCTCGGGGAAGTTACGGACAAGAGCTGTAACTTTTAGTAGTTGGCAGAAATACACTCCAAAGACCAAGGTTGTTGAGAGAGCCAGTGTCCTAATTGCGCCCCTTTAGTTTAGCCAGAACATTCGGATTTCAGGTGTCCAGTGAACTTCAAGATATCCGGCGCAAGGCAGAGAACTCTGATGTCTGGGAAGGGAAATCCACGGTGTGAGAGTTAGCTCGACATGGAAGGGGTCGAAATGAGAGACCCCCAGGCAGGTGATGACAAGGGAGAAAATCTGAGCAGGTCTTGACTGGAGGGGGATGGCGCTGGTCTGCCCGCGTGTACTTGGCTGCTCCGCGGGGCACTTCAGTTCCCTTTTCCGCAGCTGCAGCGCAGCTCGCACAGCCTGACCGCCTGCACCACCCGGTAGAAAGTGCTGAACACCGGGAGAGGGGAAGGAAGCAGGAGCCACTCGCCTTCGTTTCTGGAAGAGCGGCAGCCCAAGAAAAGGGATTTCTTGTCCGTTTTACTTTATCCCAAAGCATCCCCTGAACTCCTTCCTTCGGGTGCCGGCAGCTGGGAGGGATGAGGTCCCGGCTCTCGCTTGCTGGAAAGCTAGGGACCGAATGTCCACTGACTGCCTCCTCTCACTCTCAGGTTGCAGACCCACGGCCCGCTTCCAGAGCAAGGAACACGGTACCTTTCTTAATGGAGTGCGCAAGACCGATACCCGACGGTGCGGTTTAATCGCTGCTTCAGCAAAGGGAGCCAAGTGACTCCCGACAGGGACTGGAACAGGGATAAGTTCCCTAGAAAGTAGGGATCCCTACTTGAAGTAGGTGTCCCCCTGGGCCGTCCTCTGTTCCCCATAGGGTGCAGAAGGCTCTGAACTGGCAAGAGTGCTGGTAGTGGGATTAACCTGTTAAGAAAACTGTAGTGGTGAGGCTATAGGATTCAAGGAGACATCTGCTGTTCCCTCAGGACCCGAAGAAGGCTGTGGACTGGCTTGGGTTATCAGTAGACCCTAAGCAGGACCCTGTGCCCCCCGCTCTGCAATCTACATCTCTTTGCCAGGTGTTGGTGTTGGAGGGGGGAGAAGAACTGACTAGAAACAGCTAAGCAGTCACTGTTAGGGAGGGGGAGGTGGATTCTGAGCTAGTCACGATGCAAGGTACCTGAGGGATTTAGGAGGGGGAAGCTGGCTTGAGGGGAAGCACATACAAGGCAGTCGGAAGCAAGATGACACCTCTTTGTGGATTCGTCCAAAAGAAGTGGTGACTAAGGCGGGGGTAGTCAAGGAGTTCTGATTGGTCAAGGGGAGGAGTTAGGGGTGGGGCTAGCTGCCTCTTGAGGCTTTAAAAGCTCATCGGAGAGGGGCAGAAAGCTGTCATTTGCTCTCTGAGCCTCGGAGAGGTAGCCACGCTTTCCCGGAGCTCCCGGTGACAGCGCAGGTGTTTACAGTCCGGACCCGCTGCTGCTTCCCCGGCGTGCCGGGATCTCTTAGCGGTCTCCATGAGCAACATGGGGCCTACCCTGGCGGTTCCTACCCCTTATGGCTGTATCGGCTGTAATCTGCCTCAACCTGACTACCCACCGCCTCTGATCACTTTCATGTTCTGCGCGATGGTTATCACCATCGTCGTTGACCTGATCGGCAACTCCATGGTCATTTTGGCGGTGACCAAGAACAAGAAGCTCCGAAATTCTGGTAAGCTATTATTCCTCCCCTTACTCAGTGTGCTGCAACTTACAACCCCTAGGGTGTTGGTTTGGGTGCCCCGAATAAAGACTCCCTCACTTTGAACGTCCCTACTCCCAATTTTCCCCAAACCTGGGAGTGGGGTGGGTGATGTGCCTGGGTCCGCGAAATTAGCTCTTCTCATGGGTGGGGGAGTTAATAAAATTAGCTTAGGACATCTACGAACAAAGCCCGGGTTCCTGAGGTGCGCGGGAAGCTGGCTGAACTCTGTGGGGTCAGGATCGCCCGGGGACAGCCAGCCGAGCCTGACACTACACGGGTGGCTGCGCCAAGGCACCTCTGGCTGAGTGACGCGGAGGGAGCAGCGGCTTTGCACCTGAGAAAGTTTAAGTTCGAGGCGGCCGCGGTGGCGCTGACCAGAGCGCAACGCTGCAGCCGTGCCCAAGGATGGTCAAGACCTCGCTCACCGAAGCCTAGGAGCTCCAGCGCGGCTCCTGGGCGGCGGAGCGCAGACCCCCGAGCCGGAGTATCGAGCCGGGAGGTCTGAGCCTGCTGGAGCCGAGCTCTGTCCGCCCGTCCCAGGGCGCGCGGCGTGGAGAGGCGTTCCGCTGGCTGGCACTGCAGGTGGTGGCAGCGACTTCGGCGACCACCACGGAGATCCTTGAGGTTTGTAAGCAGGGTACAGGAGGTCGCAGAGTGTGGCGGTGGAAAGGTTCTGGGTCTCAGCACCAGGGACGGGGGTGGTGGAATAGAAGGCAGCAGAACCAGGGAGGGATCGGCGGCAGAGTGTTCGGAGAGTTCTGCGGGAGGGTGAGGGTCTCAGACTACAAAGCGCCAGGGTCTGGGAGCGACGAGTGGGAGTTCCCTTGCTTCTAGCAGGATACAGAGGGATCGGGGCAGCGGCGAGTGATGCGGGGGGCGGGGGGCAGCGTGAGTGAAAGCTGGATGCGGCAACTTGTGCGGTGGGTGGGGGCGACAGACACTGCGAAGCAGGGAGCGGGGTTCTCAGGTTAGGCGGGAGAAGGCTCTGGAGGGAAGGGGGAGTGGCGAGGGGCCCAAACTCCTCCGGGCTCCGGTGGTGGGGAGGGAGTGGGTGGTGCCCAGGGAGGGTCTCAGCCGCCAAGGTCTCTGTCGGCTTGGGTGGAGGGGAGCGAGGGAGTCTAAGGGGGGGGTCGCAGACCTACCACACTCACGCGGGCGGGGCGCGGCGGGGAGAAGAGGGTCTGGACTCTGGAAAAATACTTTGCTGGGACAAGGAGATCAAAACACACAAGTTTCAAAATTCAATGATGTTCACAGTCATTAAAAGTTTTCTTTCAAACTCTGGTGGGTGCGTCGGACTTCTCCTTGGTATCCCAGAGACGTGGGGGCAGCGACTTGGACCTTACCTTCATGGAGGTGGTGCAGTCTCGAGGTGCACACTCACGGAGCCCTGGGAACCACTTACAAAACCTGTTTTCTTTGCTTTTCTTCTTTCCTTTCCTTTTCTCCTTCTCTCTCTTTCTGTAATTCAAATAAACTTTTTTTATGATTGTTGTGGTTTTGTTATTATAGCTTTGCTTGTCTTTCCCACCTTTCTTTCCCAGATTCATAACTTTGAGGGAAACCCTAGGAATAACCTTTTCGGTAGAAAGAGCTGAGACCAAGTCTTGGCTGCAACAGCGGAAGGAAGCTGAAGGAGCCATACCTTTGCCGTTTTAAAAAGCCCTGTTTTCTCCCAGTCCACCACGAAGTGTAATAATTTTGCCAAACCAATGCTAATTAGCAATGAGGTGTTTCCAAAGAAAGAGGGCTCTGCGCCTTCACTTGGCCTCTGCTCCTTTTTGCTAAAGATTTTTTTTTCCTTCCCACCTCTGCCCTGCAAAAGGGGAATGGGGGGGATCCCTTTCACTTTCCCGTTTAGCCCTCAGGCTTCAGTAAAGCCCGGGGCCAGGAGCCCGGGCAGGGCGCTGAACCCGCTAGTGCCTCGCTCTTTGCGGGGACTGGGTTTTCCTTCACCCGCAACCGCTCTCAAATTTCTTTGGTCTCAGACTTAATTTTACAGAGCATTACCCCTTCCCTCACGTTTTACTCTTAGGTTACCTGGAAAATGGTAAGTGTTTGGGCTTAGTCTTTGATTACTGTCTGATTTTTTTCAACAGCAACGCTTAAGAAAATGGTCTGTGACACCCTTTATCAAACTATTCCCGTTAGATACGTTTTCACTATAAATTCAATGCGGGGCTAGAAAAAGGAGAGGTGGTATTATTATTATTATTATTATTATTATTCAGGTGGGGGCTTCATTACACTCCCGCATTCTCCTTGCCCCACCCTCTTTGTTTCTGAGGACAACTCTTTGTCCTCCTTCTTCCCTCCAGCGGCTTTCTCCCCTCCCTCCGGTGTGGAAAAAGTTTACAGTTTGTTTTTCTCTAAAATGGCCTCACCATGACTGCCTCCTCACAATGCTTGTGCTCACTTTTTCTGTCTTATGTTCACTTCTTTCCCAGAGCAGAGATGACACTCTTTCAAAGGAGAAAAGGTGGGCAAAGGGCAGGTCTCTGAAACCTGGATGTGCATCTGAATCACCTGAGACCTGCTTGTAAAATAAAAACATGACTGTATTTCTTTAAACAAAAATTCTACAATTCTAAATTGTCACCAATACAGTTGACTTTTCCCTCCACCTTAAATATATAGATTTGCACACTTTAACCATTTATTCTCTGTCTTCCCCCTTTTCTCCCCCCTCCCCTATGTTTTCCAGGCAACATCTTTGTGGTCAGCCTCTCTGTGGCTGACATGCTGGTGGCCATCTACCCCTACCCTCTGATGCTGCATGCCATGTCCATTGGGGGCTGGGACCTAAGCCAGCTCCAGTGCCAGATGGTTGGGTTCATCACAGGGCTGAGTGTGGTCGGTTCCATCTTCAACATCATGGCCATCGCTATCAACCGTTACTGCTACATCTGCCATAGCCTCCAGTATGAACGGATCTTCAGTGTGCGCAATACCTGCATCTACCTGGTTGTCACTTGGATCATGACCGTCCTGGCTGTCCTGCCCAACATGTACATTGGCACCATCGAGTATGATCCTCGCACTTACACCTGCATCTTCAACTACCTGAGCAACCCTGTCTTCGCTGTGACCATCGTCTGCATCCACTTCGTCCTCCCTCTCCTCATAGTTGGTTTCTGCTACATCAGAATCTGGACCAAAGTGCTGGCGGCCCGGGACCCAGCTGGACAGAATCCTGACAACCAACTTGCTGAGGTTCGCAATTTTCTAACCATGTTTGTGATCTTCCTCCTTTTTGCAGTGTGCTGGTGCCCTATCAACGTGCTCACTGTGTTGGTGGCTGTCAGTCCAAAGGAGATGGCAGGCAAGATCCCCAACTGGCTTTATCTTGCAGCCTACTTCATAGCCTACTTCAACAGCTGCCTCAACGCTGTCATCTACGGGCTCCTCAATGAGAATTTCCGACGAGAATACTGGACCATCTTCCATGCTATGCGGCACCCCATCCTGTTCCTCTCTGGCATCATCACTGATATTCGTGAGACGAGGGAGGCCCGTGCCCTGGCCCGTGCCCGTGCCCGTGCTCGTGACCAAGCCCGTGAACAAGCTCGCGAACAAGACCGTGCCCGTGCCTGTCCTGCTGTGGAGGGAACCCTGATGAATGTCCGGAATGTTCCACTGCCTGGTGATGCTGCAGCTGGCCACCCTGATCGTGTCTCTAGCCACCCCAAGCCCCGTTCCAGGTCTGCCTCTGCCTACCGCAAATCTGCCTCTATCCACCACAAATCTGTTTCTGGCCATTCCAAGGCTGCCTCTGGCCACTCCAAGTCTGCTTCCGGTTACCCCAAGTCTGCCACTGTCTACCCTAAGCCTGCCTCTGTCCACTTCAAGGCTGACTCTGTCTATTTCAAGCCTGCCTCTGTCCATTTCAAGGGTGAGTCTGTTCATTTCAAGCCTGCTTCCAAGTCTGCCATTGGTCACCACGTCTCTGCTGGCAGCCACTCCAAGTCTGCCTTCAGCCCAGCTACTAGCCGCCCTGAAGCCACCACTGACCATGTCAAGCCTGCTCCCAGCCACCCTGAGTCCACCACTGCTGACTACCTTGAGCCTGCCACCACCAGCCTTCCTGAGCCCACTGCTGCAGGACACCCTGAGCTGTCTGCCTCCCACTGCCCTGAGACCATTGACACTAGCCGCCTTGAGTCTGACGTCACTGACCTCCCAGAGTTTGCTTCCAGCCCTACCGCTGTGTCCCCTGAGCCTGCTGCCAGCCAGCTGGAGCCTACCCCTGCTGCTGACCTTCCTGACCCTGCCGTAGTCACTCCCGCCACCAATGATTACCAGGAGGTTGTAGTTATTGATGTTGAGGATGATTCTGATGAAATGGCTGTGTAAAAAGTGCTCTTGTGGGTGGCCAAGCAGTGGTCCACTTTCCAGTTTGTTTTGAGTATGTAATCCAAAGTGAGATACATCTATACACAGAAACACACACAGACACTGACCCACAGACTTGGTGTAAGCTACATCCACCTTTCAGGCATACTCTTCCTTGATATCATGTACTCTAAAAAAGTGTGTGTGAGTGTGCATGTTTGTGTGTGCTTGCTATCCTAGAGATCAGATTTCCCTCCAGTTTAACATCCGTTGTTCCAAGTGTTCCTTTCCTCCTGCAGTTGACCTTCGGCCCTCAATGATCCCTGAAACATTAGACTTTGATTTTTCCCCACTCCCTTCCCCTTTCTCCCCATTCCTCATTTCCTCTGCCTTGTTCCTGCTTTCTTCTCCCATTCCCCAGGGGTGGGGGAGGAGTGCATGCGCAATGGTAAAGGTGTATCTTGGTGATGACTTCTGTCAAGTGATTGTGACTACACAGCTTTATGTTTTTAACTCTTTGTTGTACTTTTAATGGCAGTCAGAAGAACAGTCACAATAAAGTGCAAGTACTTGAAAGTTTCTTTTCTGAATTCCAGTAACATAATATGATCCATATCTGAAGATTATAATTTGATAAGGTCTTATTAAAATAAGTGTTTATGCCTATGAGATCAAATGGTAAAAGGAAATATATAGTCACACCAAATCATTTATATTTTGTGAAAATTCAAACGCTGGTGCTGATTTTCATCGTTAAACATGGAGGGAAATGATGAGATGTTTTTACCATTTTTAGTTATTTCCTTTTTTTTTTTTAGTGTTTGCCAGGATTTTCTTTCATTTATTTTCTCAGAAATAAGTACATTTATACCTAATCTTTTCTCCTAAAATCCAAACTTGTGGTTGCTAGGATCAATTATACTCATGTTTTTATTATTATAATTCATAACTGCCTTTTATCTTGGAGATTTTTTTAAACAGCCTGATGTTTTTTTACAATTAGTTTTTACATTTTTTTTTCATTCAAAGGAATTTGAAGTCAAAATCTAGTCAGAAGTGACTGGAGTATGCTATGGAAGATAAAGTGAGTGTTTCTCCAAAACCTTGTTCCTCTGACCCTCCTAGCAGGGGATGGGGGTGAGGAGGAAGAGATGCCAAAACCAGTCAGTTCCATCACACCTCGCTGAGGTTCAACTGACACAAAGTGTGAAGTTATAGTCATCTCAAGTCAGTACAGTACATTTGACAACCCAGGGATTGTTTTTCCTCTAAATTCAAACAAACAAACTGCTGTTTAATAAAAACTTCAATTGTTGATTCAAATTGATACTTTAAGCAAAGTTTACCATACAAAAGCTTGTAAGGATAAGTGGGAATGTATTACTGCCTTAATTCTATTCTGTATTTGTGGTAGCAATTAAATAAACGTGGTTTTGTGGCTTTAATGTGTGATTTCTTGATAAATTAACTTATTCTACCACAGTTACTTGTGGGGAGGGTTCAAGTCTGGGGGGTGGAAAAGCACTAATCTTGGGGAATCAGAAGATTTGGGTGCAAGTTCCAACCCTGCACAAACTTGCTGTATCCCACAGTCAGTGTCCAACACTCTCACCTCACGGTCTCTCAAACTGGAGAGGGTCTGGGGAAGGAGGGGTCATCAGGGTTGGTTTGTTCTCACTAGTGCTATGACATTGGATGCCCTGAGTGGCCTGCTCTTGGGCTTGTGGACCTTCCTTCCTGCTTCCTAAGGTTCCTCTTTTACCCCTGTGGAAGGAGTAAACTCAGGCCCCAATAATGTCATGACTCCGGAGACTGTGGGTGCTGAGGAAGAGAGCCCACGAAGCAATGGGAGAAGACACAGGAGTGAGAGAGGCCTAGTGGAATGTGGGTAGCAAAACTCCAGCCACTGCCCAAGGCCTTGAGCACAGAAATGGTCTCAAGAGAAGTTCTAATGATAAGAAAATTCTCAAAGTCCTTGGTACAAATTAAAGTGGATTCAAGATAATATATAGCAGGACTTCAGTTTTTAAAAAAGATGCCCATTTAACACATGCACATACACATAGATACCCAGAGTCTACATGTGTAGTTGTCCTAGCTGTGCTTTGTCCTACTGTCAATACAGACTGAGGTAATTTTAATCTTCTTTTTTTGTGTGTGATAATGTAGATTGAACACAGGGGTGTTCCACCACTGAGCTACAGGCCCAGCCCTTTTTATTTTTATTTTGAGACAGGGTCTTACTAAGTTTTCCAGGCTGGCATTGACCTTGCCATCCTCTTGCTTCAGACCGTCAAGCTGGGATTACAGACATATACCATCTTGCCCAGCCATCGTAACTTTCAATGCCCAAGTTCCAACAGTTTAAGTTCCACAGCATGACTGCTGTATCTCAGGCTGACTGCCCCTTACCTCGAGCAAAATTTCTGCTATTTATATCTGGAGAGCTAAAAAGAATGCTTACTCATGTATTTACAAATTGGCACCCCTCTTTTTCCATGTTCTTCCTCTTCACCCCCACCCAAGGAGCTGCTCTGGGAGAGATTGTCAGTGTCCAAACCAAGGGTGCTGTGTCCTAATGCTCTAAACTACCATTATCCAGGGTTTAGAAAGGAGGTGAGAGAGTTGAGCAAAACTATCTGGCCTTGATTACAACTTTGTCAATACTGCTCATACCCAGAGTCACAGTCCCACCAAAATAGCTACTTTGGGCTGGGGCTATAGCTCAGAGGTAGAGCGCTTGCCTAGCATGTGTGAGGTTCTGGATTCAATCCTCAGCACCACATAAAAATAAACAAATAAAAAAAATAGCTGCATCACCTACTTCTGCTCATCTCCCCCAAACTGCATTCACCAAACCTACCTGCCTCCCAAGTTACACCCACAGCAACAAGCAGCAAGGCATGTACCACCCAGAAATGCTTATCTCTGTCCCTCCCTTACCCCATTTATCTCCACACCTCAAAGTCAAGAAGCCTCCAAAACATATCTCTGGTTTACCATACCCACTTGGATTAATGAAGGCAAGAAGATATTTCTCCGCATCAAGGTTTAAGGTGCTTCATAGTTCTCCCTGGGACAATGCAAGGCTTCTGGTAACAATCGAAGGGCCAGTTTTGCTGATGGCCTCCAAGAGACAGTCTGCTTCCCTGTGAGCTTGTCTCCACAATGAAGGGATTTAAAAAATGCAAGCAATAATGATAGTTTTTTCCCCCCAGTTTCTACTCTTGTTTTTCTGCTAAATAGAAATAGAATTTATAATGTAAATGGACAGCTTGACCATCTTTAACACACACACACACACATACACACACACATCTCACACATCTATGTGACTGCCATCCTGGTTTAAGTATAGGAGTAGGAGGTGCATGCCTGTAATCCCAGTGACTGGGGAAACTGAGGCAGGAGGATGGCAAATTCAAGGTTAGCCTCATCGACTTAGTGAGACCCAGTCTCCAAATAAAATAAAATGGGCTGGGGATATAGCTCAGACATAGAGCATGCTTGTGTCAAAAAAAAAAAAAAGTGAAGGAGAAATAAAGACTTTCTTTGACAAACAAAAATTGAGGGAATTTGTCACTAGTATAACTATCTTACACGAAATATTAAAAGATGTTCTTCAGAGAAGAAAAAACTGATATACTTTGGCAGCTTATTTTTGGTGGGGGGCACTGGAGATTGAACTCAACCCCTGAGCCACATCCCCAGCCCTTGTTTGTATTTTATTTAGAGATGGGGGTCTCACTGAGTTGCTTAGTGCTTTGCTTTTGCTGTGGCTGGCTTTGAACTTGTGATCTTCCTGCCTCAGCCTTGGGAGCTGCTGGGATTATAGACATGCACCACTGTGCCTGGTTCAACAGCTAATTTCTTCAGTTACATAAAGGACAAGCATCAGAGAAAGAATAATGAAGATAACATAAAATTCCTTCTTTTTCTTATTTGATCTAATAGATATCAGTCTGTTACTAGCAACAATCTTTTGAATGATTATATTTTATAGATAAGTGAATGACTGACAGTAATATTATTATGGAAAGTAAAGAAAAATTGAAAACAATCTGTCACGAGTATTATATCTGAGAAATGGTATAGAGTTATTTGAAAGTGGGTTAGATTGTAATACATATAGCAAACTTCAGAGAAACCACCAAAAAGGCAAACTAAGAAGTATAATTGATATGTAAGAGAAGAAAGAAAACAGAATCACAGAACACTCAGTTAAACCCAGAGAAGGCAGAAAAAGAGTGGAGGAAAAATAGAGAAAGAATAGGGTAATTCATAGACAATAATTAGAAATATGTGAGATATTAATTCATCTGTACAAATAACTGCTGAAGTACAAATGGTTTAAAATGCCAATTAGATGGCACAGACCCCTTTTTACAAGAAATCTATATTAAACATAGAGACACAGTTATATTAGAGTACAGGGATGTACTGTAAAAGATATAGCTTGGTAATGTTAATTGAAAGAAAGCTGCAGTGAATATATTCAATTCAGACAAAGCAAAAAAAGAAAAGTGTGAGGAATAAATAGGGACATTATATAATAAATGGGAATGTTAAAACATATGAGTAACAAGGGGAAATAGACAAATCCACAAATACAGATGTATACTTCAACTCCCCTCTCTTTGGAATTGACAGACCCAGCAGGTGGAAAAGCAGTGTGGATGTGGCTGAATTAAATAGTACCATCAGTCAACTGTGTCTTGTTGACATTTGTGTAATACTTTGTCCAACAAAGGCAAAATAAACATTCTTTAGAAGCTCATCTGTAGTATTCACTAAGGTAGGTCATAATCTGGTCAAGAAAAAATATACCTTAACAAGTTTAAAGGAATAGAAATCATATAAAAGTCTTTTAAGATTATGGTGAAATTAAAGTAGAAATCAATAAAGGAAAGCTGCAAGATTCTAAAATAATTACAAATTAGACCGTGGGACTGGGGTTGTGGCTCAGTGGTAGAGTGCTTGCCTAGCACATGTGAGGCATTGTGTTCAATCCTCAGCACCACATAAAAATAAACAAATAAAAAATAAAGATATTGTGTCCACCTACAACTAAAACCCAATATTTTTTAAAAAGAAATTAAACTACAGACTTCAAGAAAACCTATGAGCCAAGTTTAAAGAGAAATTAGAACATATTTTGAATTAAATGAAAATGTAAATGCAACTATAAAAATTTGTGAGATGCAATGAAAGTAGCATTTAGGAGGAAATTTAGAGCAATGAATGCAAATATTAGAAACTAATATTTAAAACCAATAATCTAATCTTTCACTTTTGGAAACTAGAGAAAGGAGATTAATATAAAACTAAAACAATTAAAGGAAAAGTATAAAGTATAAAGCAGAAAAAAGCACATACACTGATCCTACTTGACAAAGACTTTAAATCAGCTATTTTAAATACATTGCAATTACTAAAGGTAAACAATATTTACAGAACTAAAGAAAAGTATAAAAATGATGTCTCACCAAAATGAGAATATCAATAGAAATAGGAATTATAAAAAAGGAATAAAAACTCTAGAGTTGAAAAATGCAGTGACTGAAGGGTTGTGTTTATAGCCCAGTAGTAGAGTGCTTGCCTAGCATGCATGAGTCCTGGGTTTTGATCCTTGGCACTGCCAAAGAAAAAGAAAAACAAATGGAAAAAGAAAAAATAGTAACAGAAAATTAAAAATTCACTAAAGGTGATCCCACAACAGATTTGAAAAATCAGAAGAAAAAAAATCAGTAAACTTGAAAATAGAACAATTCAGATTATCCATTATGAGGAACAGAGAAAAACAATTGAAAAAATTAACAAAGCCTCTCTAAAGTCCTGTGGGACACAATAAAAAATATCAACATAATGGAATTAGAGAGAGAGATTGATGCCTCAGTTCATTTGTGCAGCTATTACAGACTGTGACACACTGGGTAATTTATGAAGAACAGAATTTTCTTTTTTCTTCACAGTTCTGGAGGCTGAAAAGTCCAAGAGCAAAGTGCAGGCAGGTTCAGCTCTCTGGTAAGGGCTGATCTCTACTTCCAAGACGGTGAACTTAGTACTGCATCCTCCAGAGGGGAGAAAACTTCTGTCTCATATGTTAGAATGGTGTAGGGCAAAAGGACCAAATGCTGGGTAAAACTTTTTTTTTTAACAATAAGGGCCTTGGGCTGGGGTTGTGGCTACATGGTAGAGCGTTCACCTAGCATGTGCGAGGCTCTGGGTTTGATCCTCAGCACCACATAAAAATAAATAAATAAAATAAAGGTATTGTGTCCAACTACAACTAAAAAATAAATATTTAAAAAGCAAAGCAAAACAAACAAACAAACAAAAACAATCAAACAAACAAACAAAAAAAGCATTGGTAACACTTGAGTTTTGGAGAGGACACATCTAAACTACAGCAGAAAAGTGAGAATATTCAAAGAGGTGAA